ATGAGTCAAGTACTACTTGGCTGTAAAATCAAGACTTCAAAAATGTGTGCTAGAGTGCTAGAGTCCTGTGTAACTTATCAAGTCTCGTGTTTTTTTTTGTTTGTTTGTTTTTGTTTTTTTTTCTTTTGCCATCCAGTGAGTTTATTTGTAGATTTATAGGCACTTTCTAGTTACACCAAATGATTATATAGGACTCCAGACATTCACACAGTGAGACCAAAGGAGGATATTCTTAGGAGATGATTGCAAAGGCTCAATAGCTATGTGCATATAATCATATAAAATGATGTTATTTAAATAAACACTAAGAAATAGAAACAAGAAGGGGTTTTGTTATTTTACTTTTTTGTTTTTTCTCCTTTGTCACTGTTTTTGTATTCTATACCTTTTGTCTTTTATGTAAGTTTATCTGTTTGGGTGAGGGTAAGGGGTAACACTGAAATGGTGGGACAAAGGTTGAACAAATGCAACAGTGATACTCACTGGACACCAGGATAAAAATGGACTATAGAACTTGCAGCAGAAAGAAAAAAACGTGGAGAAGCGGGAAGAGGTGACACTGTTCAAAAGAAATGTACTTATTACCTGACTTATGTAACTGTAACCCCTCTTGTACAGCACCTTTATAATAACAGTAAATATTGTTCTAGAAAGAAGCTAGACTACCAAACTTAAACATTTCAGGTCTTGGCTCATTAACTTATAATCAGCATTTAGCGGAAACTTTGCATTCTTTGTTCCATGTGGCATCAGCTGTGGTGGTTCAAATGCCCAGAACTGAAGTCAAACAAAGGCTACCCTCTCTCAGCAATGGTTTTCTCCAGAAGAGCCAAATATGGGTTCTCCGTGTGATCTTGCTGCTTTTCCAGGCCATGATGCCTGCAAATGAGAGTGAGCCTTTTAAAAATATCAAGCAGAATCTGCATTGCCTTTTATAATTTACTAGTCATTTAGTATCATTTCTGCCATAGTCATAGACCTGCTGGATTCCAGGGAAAGGAGCTCATTTCTCAATAAGAGGAATATCATCATTACGTTATAAAGAAAGCTGTTGGATAGAGAATGATCCATACCTGGGAGTTAGTAAGCATAGACCTTGTCAACTAAATGAGCTCTTCTTCAATACCTCAGAGAATATGTACATATGAAAATGTATAAATACACATTTACACACCCATTAAGTATATACTAAGTGGTGGCAATTTTTAGAGTAAATTTGCTTCAATGTTATGTCTAAGGGCAAGGACAGGAAACTAAATGAATCTATCACTTCAAAATAAAAGTACTTCATCTTCATTTTCTCTTGGGGACAGTAAATTGGGCAGTTGAATTTTGGTGCAAACCATTTCCATAGTAACAGACTTAATATGCTAAAGGTAGATTAAACTTCCTTGCGATATTTGAAAAATCTGAATATGTATTATACGGTATTTGAAAGTAGAGTTAATAGCCAAGAACACCATTGCTGCTAAAGAATCTCAGCCCCTAAAACAAGCTCATGCACATACTCTCCCTTCATGCTAAAAAGTGTGAATGTCAAAAATATTACCTATTTTGTTGTTCTCCAATATGGACGGCAATGGGAAGAAATGAATTTTTTTATCACTTGGACTTCTTGGGTTTGTATGAAGTAAGATTTCTTTGCTTTTGCTTTTTGACTGTTCTTAAAAATTATCTGATTCTTTTGATCATTCTTAAAAATGACCCACTGAGTTATGATAAGTTATACAGCATTCTACACATCCACACATCATGAGACCAAAATAAGACACTTTTAGGAGAGAAGCACAAAGGCACAATCCCTATGTGTCTCTTTATAGTTATATAAAATTATATATATGACCATATTTTATATATATATATATATATATATATAAGACTTCAAGATATGGAGGTTTTTTTGAAGATTCGATCTTCTTTTCTTTATGTATGGGAGGGTAGAGGAGGGTACAGAGCTCAAGGAGAAAAGGGTGAAAAGGTGCAGCAGTGGAGCTCATGGGACATTGATGAAAGTGAACTATGCAACTTGTGGGTAGAGACAGGAGGAAAGGATTAGGAGAGAGTGAGGGTACTGAAGACACTATGAAAGAAATGTACTCATTATCTGACTCAAGTAACTGTAATCCCTCTGTATAATAACAATAAAGTAAAAAAAAACACCCAGCAAATAAATTTATCTGACCATTTAAATTCCAGAGGAGCAAAACCTAACAATCATAGGCAGGAGTGAATATAATTATGCCACCCTTTGGAAACTCCAAATATCTCAGCACAGCGGGTATTGAGTATTGACCATCTAAAAGAAACTGGTAGTGTTGAGCAGAATCAGTTTTAAGACTTAATTATGAAGTATATCAAACATACAAAAAGTCCTAAGAAATTATCCATATACCTATGCTATAATTAAAACTTATTGCCATTGGCCATATTGTCCTAAAATCTCTCTTTAAATTTATTTTTATTATTACTGTCTTTAGTTGTATAGAGAAGTAACCATTTAACAACAAAACAATTAATAAACACAATATATCTTGATCAATGTCTCCCCTTTCGAGGTTCTCACCCAACCCTCCCCCACCCCCCTTTCTCTCATTTTTTAAATTTTACTTTATTAGATTCTTGTGTGCATCCCTCTTCTTCTCTCCACTTGTCCACCCATTTCCTCTGGACCGTACCCTACCCCTTTTGAGTATCCTCTTCCGGATGTTTTGTTTTGCTGAACTTTGATTTTTTTGGCTTTCTAAGGAATTGCACTATTTGAGATCTCCCTTGAGCCTACCATATTTCAGCTAATACATTTGCATTCACTTGCTTACCACCCAACCTATTTCCTTGAGTTTGCGAGCTAAATCTTGCTTCCACATAGGAAGCATGCATCTTTTTGCTTTCTAAATAAATAAAAATATTACCTATTCAAGCAAAATTCTAGCTATTATGCCTTTTTCCCTTCCCCTGAATTCAACACAATCCTTAAAATTTATTTATATTAACACTAGGAAAAAATAAACTAGGATGTGTTGAAATTTTAAGAGTTTGAATAGATAGTAACTTATGAATTGGGTAGCTAAAGACTACATGTGCAGTGGCGCTGTGGCTCAAGTGGTAGAGTGCTCGCCTTGAGCTGAAGAGCTGAGGGACAGTACCCAGGCCCAAAGTTCAAGCCCCACAACCAACAAAAAAAAAATGTTCAAATGTTTGGGGCTGGGAAGGTGGCTCAGTGGTAGAGCGCTTGCCTTGCATGCTCAAGGCCCTGGGTTCGATTTCTCAGCACCACATGAGAAAAAAGCCGGAAGTGGCACTGTGGCTCAAGTGTAGAGTGCTAGCCTTGAGCTGAAGAGCTGAGGGACAGCGCCCAGGCCCAGAGTTCAGGCCCCATGACCGGACCCCCCCAAAAAAAAGACTACATGTGCTTCTGAGCTCCCCTGAGCATGAGGAGTGTTTGTTTGTTTTTGGTTCGTCATGGGGCCTGAACTCTGAGCACTGCCCCTCAGCTCTTCAGCTCAAGGCAAGCCCTCTACCACTTGAGCCACAGCACCACTTCCAGCTTTTTTCTTTTTGCTTATGTGGTCCTGAGGAATCGAACTCAGGGCCTGATGCATGCCAGGAAAGCACTCTACCACTGAGCCACCTTCCCAGCCCAAGGAATGGTTTTTAGTAAAAACATGGATGCAAGGTAAAGAGAATATTTGAGCCAGGTGCAGTGGTCCATGCCTACACTCAGAAGGCAGGGGGACTGAGAGCAACTCCAGAACTTCACAGTCTTTGGTTGTTGCAGGATGGAAGCCTGCTGACTGCCCAGGTTGCAGTCTACCCTAAGAAGTGCACAACTTGTACAGAGATTGAGACAGCAAACTCTGGGCTGTGTCAGGCTACCTCACTGATCTTTTGTGACTCAGCCACCAGTTACCAGAACTTCTCATTGACATTTTTAGTTTCAGGGTCTGTATCCCACAGGTTGTGAGAGCAGGAGGGCTATGTGGCGGGCAGCCATTTAGGTTCTTTCTTGTCCTGGCATGCACATAGCCAACTTCTCCCGTTTTTTCCATGATAACTGGATGTTTTGTTCAGTTTGTCGGCTGCAATTTGATAGCCTGAATGATTTTTCAACTTCTGCACGGTCAAAATAAAGGAGCTGAAGTGGCTCTTATGTTTAGGATACAAAGCTGAGCTATCCATTCATTATGAGACAGAGGTGAGGCATGATACATATTCCATCTCTTGTCTCTGTTTAACACATTGCTCTGATTCAAAGAAACCTCTTTCTTACATGCAGAAGCTCTCTCAGAAGAACAAAAAGGGAGTGCACATGCACATTTTACCTTTGAGATGACGTTTACTTACGCAACGACATCTACCAAGTTAAATGTTATATTGACCTTGTGTCACTGTCAACTAATGATATTTTATTTCAATTGCATTTCTGACTAAAGACAAGTGACTTCATACAAATTAAATTCCAAGGAAGCTTTTTAGACCATGTTCAAATAGTAACAGGTTTGATAAATATATTTGTCTAACAAGGATAGGACAAAAAGATCCTTGTTTACTGACATAGTTTATTGTCATTCTCCTGTATACTTCTCATATGGCTGTTTTATAGAACATAAAGTCTAGGTATCCTGTCTGAATCTTAGCTCTTATTTATAGCTTGCTGAAAAGTGGCTTATTGTCATTTATTATTTCTTATTTGATTTATATGGCGTCTTTCCACCAAAGAGCCCATGTATTTATTTATTTATAGAGAGAGAGCACCCATACACTCACATGTTCTCTCTCGCGCTCTCTCTCACACACACACATACACACAAACACACACACACACACACACACAGAGATACACACACAGCCTTAAACTTCATTCAGTATGTGATATACTGAGCATTATAGCACCAACAATCTGCAGGAGAGTTTTCTATTTGTTATTTTTTTTCTACATCTATGTTTTGGGAAATAATTTGCCATACTTTCTTTCACCTTAAGTGTTTATCTTTTGCTTCTAGGTGGATCGAATCATCTTCTGTGTCTTTTTAGAAGTTGACTTCAAAATCTACAAAAAGAAAATGAACGAGTTTTTCCCCATAGGTGAGTAAACTATTCATTTTCATTGAACAAATAGAGGCATCACTGCGCTTATAATTCATTCTTCACGACTGTTGCAACAACAATTCTTCTATGTCAACCATCCCTACAAACTGGAATCATAAATTCTAACAACTAGAGATGACAACAGGAATCCTGGATTATAGGCTACAGTGGCCATGAGGTCACTGTCTTGTCATGAGTGTGTCAGGCCATCCCTCAGCTTTCCATTTCTCACAACAATCAGAGAGGTTGGACCAAGTAACTACTAACCACCATCCATCCACTGGCCCTATATTACATGATCTGTTATTATTTTACCAGCTTGTAAGATTCCTAAGCCTTACGTCTAAATCAACCATGTTAAGTCTCTCCATTGGAAAATGTATCAAATCCATTTATACTTGAAGTTGGAATTCAGACTTCCTGAATTCCATTCCCATTTTGATCAATTTTCTTGTCCCAAATTGTAATGACTTAGTGAAGGTTCTTTCTAGGGATGTCTGACAACAGTAGTCATTCTCCTATTTCACACTTGTTAGGATGTAGGTGAAACTATACTTACTGAAGAACCTTGAGTAATGGATTTACATTGATTTAGTGTGCCATGAGTTGGATTGGGGTAATTTAAATATTTTCCCCCATTCACCCTCTTCTAGCCTATTAAGGCTGAGGCTTGTTTAATGCCTTGTTATTTTTATGGTATCATTAAAGTCACAGAGCCCAAGGTGCTTTCGTTAGCCATGCTAAGAATTGCATTCAGGAAATTTCATGCTACTGTGAGCATTGTTAGTTCCTACCTTTTAGAGCATTTTTTTCCTCCAAAGTTTCCATCTTCATTGGAAGTGGCTTTTCAGGCAGTGGGTAGAAAGGAAATAAAAAGTGTTAGTGCACATTCACCATTTTAATAACTCCATCAGAGTCAAACAAGAGTTTGTTCTGGCCATAGATCAGAGAAGGGCAGGGTGTAGCTGTAGAAAAGGGAAAAAAAAAGATGGAGACATTTTAACTCTTGACTTAATGCCCTAAGCAGAACAAGTTCTTCTGGGTAATTAAAAGTTATTTACCTTAATGTTGTAATTATATTGTAAATTTGCTAAATGTATTTCATTTGAATTCTTACCTAAAGCATTTATCTTAGTTGAAACAACATGAATTTCTGTAAGATTTCTACTGATGAAGAATGGTATAGTGCTTGCAATCTTTCAGCTCTTTTTCCTTCTCTCCCTCTCCATGCTCTCTCCTTTTTTTACCTTCTCTCTTTTTTAGCAGTACAAGGTTTTGTAGCATAAAGAACGATAGCTGTTTAATAAGCAGATGTTGAGATATTGAATGTCATATATTCTCTCAATAATCTGATAGTTTTTATTTATAGCTTGCTGCATAGTATCTTATTGTCATTTATTATTTTTCTGATGCATATCAAACATATTTCTGTCAAAGATCACATGGGCTTATTTGAATGCAGACCCCACCTCCTATGCACACACACACACACATACATTCACACACACAGACATACACAGCCTTGGACTTAACTCAATGAAGTAAATACTATGTTGCTATACCACCATAGCACCAAAAATATATATATGAAGTTTCTATCTTTTGATCTTTGTTACATTTTTTTCCTGTAATTCCTTTGTAACCATAATGAGATGATTAGTGATTGGAGTTCAATCTCTTAGTATTCTCAAAAGGAATTGTTCTTTATAAAAAAAATATGGCTTTTTTACAGTGTGTGATGCAAATATTCTTCTTTCTTGTTGATATCAAATCATAATTTATAAGGGTTTACAAATTTTCAATTCCTTGAGATGTTTGAAAATAATGACATCATATTCATCTTCATGTTTTCTATAATGGGAATTGTTTTCTCCCTAACATGATTAAAAAAATAATACATTAATGCTAAAACAAATCTGTCTACCAGTAGGTATTTCCAGTGATACATAGCCAAAAGTCACACTGCAAATTTTAGAACATTAGACAGTTTTAGGATTCTAGAATATATTAATAACTATGCAAATAAATTGTTTTAAAACTTGCTATTTTAAATGAATCCAAAACTCATCTCAGTGCTTGAGCAAGTAAAGCAGTAATAAAATCATCTTCAATTCTACATCAATGCTTCAAAGCACACCATGTCCATGAAATTATTTCCAGTGCATATTTATAATAGTAAATATATTTTAAACTCAATGTCAAGATCCTCAAAAATTGTGGAATATTTCTGCAATATTGAGGCATCAGCAATTTGTAAATCCTAAATATGCAATATGTAATAAAGATGATGTCTAATGGAATATGTGAACTAACATAGATGATATACATTATCTGTCCTTAATTTAAATTTATGGTTAATTCATAACTGCACCATCTTGGATTGGAATATAATTTTTCTTGGCTTGTCTGAGTGACTTTAGTGTATTATAACCCTTTCCTGTGCAAAACTGATAGTTCAAAAAGTATCATTTTACAAGAAACCAACTTCTTTGTTTGTGGGCCTGTTGATCTTGTATTTGTGAACTTCACATTCCAGAGTCTGGGACAATACATATGAGAATAAACAAAAGTTAAAGTAGAAGAGTTCACATAAAATGAGTGACATATACATAACTACAACCTAAAGTTAGCCATGAGAAAGATCACTTATGGATTGCTTTCAATCAGCCAAACATAGCATTCATTTATTTTTTAAAAATTTATTATTATCATTACATAGTTACACAAAGGAGTTACCATTTAACAAAACAATTTGTGAATACAGTTCATCTTTATGATAACTCTAAGAATGTATTTATTGACCATTTGCTGTAATTTCTGTCCTTACCATTACTTTCTAAGTTGGTCTTAAAGTCTATCTGTCTTGAGAGCAGTCCTAAGCCAAGATAATCTTTCTCTCTTGAAAAGAAAGCCTTGACTAGGCAAAAAAAAAAAGGTTCTCAAGTATGTGATAGCTGATATTCTGTATGCAGTGAGGGCCAGAAGTTTTGGAGTTGAGGTTTGTGGAGGTTTCCAGGCAGCAGTGAGCTAGCCTCACAAGTAGAGCTTGGGTGAGAAAGAGAGTCTGTAGGATACTGCCTTTATTAGGATTCCCAGGCCTTAATTGCCAGGTTGATCAATTGGTTAAAAAACAAAATGCTTAAATAGGGATACAGGTTGACCCATTGTAACAATGACATATACAAGACACTATGTTGAAAAAGAAATTACTATTTGGCGGCGGTGTGGGGAGTGTGGTTGTGGAGGTGGGAGGGAAGGGTTGGTAGGGGAAACCAAAGAAGGAGGCAACAAGGTTTGATAGGAAATGTACTTATTACCTTGTTCATGTAACTGTAACCCCTCTGTACAGTATTTTTACAATAAAAATAAATAAATAAATACCTCCTCAGGTAAAAAAAAAAAAAAAGAATGTATTCACGAACAAGGAACTTACATGACTTTGGTATTGACCATTAATTAAATTTGATCCTAACCATTATCTGCAGTATGTGTTGGGTTTGGGATCACTGGGATTAAGAAGGTTTAAAGTAGGCTAAAGGTAATTGGGCATAACTGGGTTTCAAAACATTTAAATCAGTCCTAAAAATGGCTACCTAAACAATATTGTACAACACCCTGCTTTTTAGATATAGAAAAATGAGAAATGCCTGAAGTCAAAATGTAGCCACTACTTAGGAAGTAACTGGACTTTATTTTAAAATTCAGAATGATATCTATCACTGAACAAATGATAATAGGTTAGTTTTCAGAGAGCATCATTGGAAAATACTGAGATCAACTTCCAAGACATATGCAAAGTATGGGAAAAGTCCCATCCTTAATTTCATCTACTGGCCATCATTTTATGCTTCTTTCATCTAATACCTGTAAATGTCATCAAAGGATTTTTTTCATTAGTAAAATTGGCGCTTCATCATGCACCTTAAAATCAGAGTCTATGCACATTATCTTGGAAATATGGCAGGTGAGTAGATAATGGATAATGAGCAGAATAAAGACTTCATTGTATTACCATAAAGTACGTAGCTACTGTCTATATTTTCTAGGGAGGCAAAAACAAATTCTCATGCAGCAATGGCTTCAGCCACACAAATGTATCCTCTGACAATTCTGGGGTCTAAAAGTCCGATATCATAGTACTGGCCTGGTTCTTTTCGGGGGCTATCTATAAGCTTCGCTTCTGGGCTTATAGATGGCCATCTTTCTCTTTTCATGGGTTCACATGATCTTTCCTCTATGTTGCTTGTGATCTTACTTCTTTGTGTAAGCATATCAATAATATTGGATAAGGACCCACTCTAATTACCTCTTCTTAATTACCTCTTAAAGATTCTATCTCAACAAAAGCAGTTGTGTTCTGAGGTAGTAGGGAATTTGGGGTTGAAGGTATGAACGCTGGACCAGACACACACAGCTTATTTCTGTGCCCATCATACAATAGAAACCACAAAGAATGAAATCAGCAGTGATTTTCCAACTCTTTTACATCTTTTTGTGGGACAAAGCACACTTGACTTCTTCCTTCCAGATGTATTACTTAGAAGCAGAGTATAGTGGTTCTACGGAATTATCATACACTTCAGGTACAAATAATTTATAGTTATAGTGGGCTATTACATTGCCTAAAGCAAATTATATTTCTGTGATTTAACTCAGAGAACAATTTGTTCTTCATATGGAAGGTTTCTATTTTATGCTACGTAAATTTTACCATGCATAGTTTTCATTGAATACAAAAAGGAAAAAAAGTTTCTTAATCTGAAAAATGGAAGTCAATAATTAGTTGACTCTAAATCCTAATAGATTCCTTATATATTCATTCTTCTTCTAGTAGATACCTTATATATTATTTTTTCTCTTAATAATCATAAGAATTGAAAATTTGTTAACTATATCAAAGAATACTAAGCAGATGCCAGTGGCTTATAGCTGTGATCCTAGCTACTCAGGAAGCTGAGATGTGAGGATTAGTGTTTGAAGCCAAATCAGGCAAGAAA